GGCGGTAAACTAGTAAACCGAAAAGAAGGGGGAACACATTTTGGCTCATATACCAACAACATTTTAAACATGCTCGAATGCGAACGATTTAGTGGAGCAGCAATGAGGTGAAACGGCTGCAAATAAATAAATACAACTATTGGATCCGTGGCGACGACATAGACAGCCATTGCAGCAAGACAACTATTTATGCAACTTTGGATAGTTTTTAATCCCGAACAAGTTTAAAGTTTAAAAGAGGAATATCAAATAAACATCTTATGTAATTATTCACTACGATGCGCTTATTATCATACGTATCCGACGAAGCATTCCAAGCTAAATGGAAGCTACAATTAGTGAGTGTAAACAATTTCTCAAGCTTCACCGGTAGTATTCTGGCTGAAATGACAAAGACCTTCTATATCTGAAATACGTGCATTATTGATAAAGGCCGTGGTGAACAGATCACGAAAAGTGGGGCAAGACACAAAATCTCCAGCAAAGACTTCTGGAACAATCATCATTGACTGAAAATTTGAGGCGATCAAGGTGCTTTTTATTGTGGTTAAACACCAATGGCATACAATAAATGATGTCAGTATATATCCTCAACGACATCAATATTATCAACCTACGTAGTCTCGTATGCCGTGAGGTAGTTTTTACACTCGGTGTAAGTGTTCTGAACCTTTTCCCATAATTCTCGAATTTCCGTAAGACGAATTTAGAGCTGTAAAATGTGAACTGCGTGGTATTAATTTGTTCAAAATATTCTACGCTGGTCATAACAGTAAAACGTGTGAGCGGAATGATCGACATTTTGTTACTAAATTTATAACAACAAGTACAAAAGCTGTAAGTTCGGCCGGGCCGAACTTTGAATACCCTCCACCATTTGGAACGAATTTGGCAGTTCTCAAAAACAATAAAATCCGTTAAAACTTCTGTTAAAATCTTAAAAATATCGAGTGTAGCTATTATATTAGGGTCTATACGACGACATGAACCTGCGTAGGTAACATTTGTCATAAGCCATTACAATATTCAAATGCGAAACTTAAAAAAATCGGTCGATAAAATCAAAATACGGAATATCGGGAGGTACCGTTATATGGCGACTATACGAAGAGGCGGACATGCACAGACAATTTTCTGTCCTAGGATGTTGTATCCATTACCAACTTCAAATACCAAATTTGAAACAATTCCGGTGAATAAAGTCGGGAATATCATCAAAATACCGAATATTAAGAGATACCGTTATATGGGGGCTCTACGAGGAGGTCGACCGGCACAGACAATTTTCTGTCTTAGGCTGTAGTATCCATTATGAACTTCAAATAAAAAATTTGAAATAATTCCGGTGAACAAAATCGCTAAAATCATCAAAATACCGAATATCGGGAGGTACAGTTATATTGGGGCTATACGAAGACGTGGACTTGCACAGACGATTTTCTGCCATAGGCTGTAGTATCAATTACGAGATTCAAATGCAAATTTGAAACAATTCTTTGAAAAATGTCGCTAAAATCATCAAAATACCTAATATCGGGAGGAACAGTTATATGGGGGCTATCAAAAGTTCTGCAGATATAACATACATTTGAGCTAAATTTTATCAATCTACTTCAATTCGTTCGGAAGCTAGAGTGATTTCCACAGGCGGACAGACGGATAGACGGACAAATGAACAGAGCGGTATGACAAAAGCACCATATATTTTCTGTATGCTCAACGCGGCAACAGTAGAAATAATTAACTAACACATGAAGTGTTAATGTAAGCCCACCAAATGAAATTCGACTAAAATCAAACAAATTTAATATGCACTAAGAAACGCGAGTAGCTCACTTCAAATAAAATTCTGAATTTACGTACCGGTTTCTTAGTCAAATATGTTGGTGATGATGAGAGTAATTCGTATGACCAATGTTAAACGCAGGGTAGTGGGGAGAATGCCTTAGACAGCGGCAGTGGCAAAAAGAACTCCGCAGAGTTGTTCTGTGACGTGAGATACGATATCGTGGACCTATATATATATATATATATATATATATATATATATATATATATATATATATATATATATATATATATATATATATATATATATATATACATATATATTCCAAAATCTGTGGAAACGTCAAGTAGCAACTCTATTGGGCTGATTCGAAAGAATCACGATCAGGAATTTGAGTCTTCAAATTAATCATGGGTGGAAGAGGAAACAATTTCTCTTTAAAATTAGGAAAGACCAACGCTTTAGTTTTTACAATTCTAGTTAAATTTCTTGGAAGAGAACATACTTCTCTTGGCGAAGTAGATTACGATTTGTTTGTCAAAGAACAATTTGAAATGCATAGTGCATATTAAATTTTCTTATTTACCATCTTGAAGGATGTTTACTAGCGCAGTTCCCAAGTGCACATTTTCTTGAATTCTGTTGGGAGACTGGCTCTTACAATAAATTTTAGCAGAAGGTGGGAGCGTTTTAGAAGACTTAGGGTCTCGACTATTTACCTTCGTAAAGCCGGAGGGGCTTCGAACCTCGGCTTTGACTAGTTTCGCAGAATTCGAAACGTAATGGTTTTGGGAAACCTTGCATAACAGTGAAGATTCACGACTGTTAAATCGTTAACAGGCGGAGGTGGGTTTAATCACGATCCTGCACCTATGTTACTATTTTATGACCGGTGGAGAAGGCTGTGGTGCTTTTATTTTGAAGATTTGTAACTATTTGTACTTCGACAATTTTTAACTGCATGGTCACTTGAGAGACTATGCAACAAATATTCTTTTCACAATCAAGGATATGTCCTCAAACGAAAGTTTAAAAAAACTGGGGGCAGTGTCGAAGCACATGACTCTGGTTAGGACAAATGGGGCAATTATTGTTTGGCGGTAAACTAGTAAACCGAAAAGAAGGGGGAACACATTTTGGTTCATGTACCAACAATATTTTAAACATGCTCGAATGCGAACGATTTAGTGGAGCAGCAATGAGGTGAAACGGCTGCAAATAAATAAATACAACTATTGGATCCGTGGCGACGACATAGACAGCCATTGCAGCAAGACAACTATTTATGCAACTTTGGATAGTTTTTAATCCCGAACAAGTTTAAAGTTTAAAAGAGGAATATCAAATAAACATCTTATGTAATTATTCACTACGATGCGCTTATTATCATACGTATCCGACGAAGCATTCCAAGCTAAATGGAAGCTACAATTAGTGAGTGTAAACAATTTCTCAAGCTTCACCGGTAGTATTCTGGCTGAAATGACAAAGACCTTCTATATCTGAAATGCGTGCAATATTTATAAAGGCCGTGGTGAACAGATCACGAAAAGTGGGGCAAGACACAAAATCTCCTGCAAAGACTTCTGGAACAATCATCATTGACTGAAAATTTGAGGCGATCAAGGTGCTTTTTATTGTGGTTAACACCAATGGTATACAATAAATGATGTCAGTATATATCCTCAACGACATCAATATTATCAACCTACGTAGTCTCGTATGCCGTGAGGTAGTTTTTACACTTAGTGTAAGTGTTCTGAACCTTTTCTCATAATTCTCGAATTTCCGTAAGACGAATTTCGAGCTCTAAAATGTGAACTGCGTGGTATTAATTTGTTCAAAATATTCTACGCTGGTCATAACAGTAAAACGTGTGAGCGGAATGATCGACATTTTGTTACTAAATTTATAACAACAAGTACAAAAGCTTTAAGTTCGGCCGGGCCGAACTTTGAATACCCTCCACCATTTGGAACGAATTTGGCAGTTCTCAAAAACAATAAAATCCGTTTAAACTTCTGTTAAAATCTTAAAAATATCGAATGTAGCTATTATATTAGGGTCTATACGACGACATGAACCTGCGTAGGTAACGCTTGTCATAAGATATTACAATATTCAAATGCGAAATTTAAAAAATCGGTCGATAAAATCAAAATACCGAATATCGGGAGGTACCGTTATATGGCGACTATACGAAGAGGCGGACATGCAATATTATCAATATTATCAACCTACGTAGTCTCGTATGCCGTGAGGTAGTTTTTACACTCGGTGTAAGTGTTCTGAACCTTTTCCCATAATTCTCGAATTTCCGTAAGACGAATTTAGAGCTGTAAAATGTGAACTGCGTGGTATTAATTTGTTCAAAATATTCTACGCTGGTCATAACAGTAAAACGTGTGAGCGGAATGATCGACATTTTGTTACTAAATTTATAACAACAAGTACAAAAGCTGTAAGTTCGGCCGGGCCGAACTTTGAATACCCTCCACCATTTGGAACGAATTTGGCAGTTCTCAAAAACAATAAAATCCGTTAAAACTTCTGTTAAAATCTTAAAAATATCGAGTGTAGCTATTATATTAGGGTCTATACGACGACATGAACCTGCGTAGGTAACATTTGTCATAAGCCATTACAATATTCAAATGCGAAACTTAAAAAAATCGGTCGATAAAATCAAAATACGGAATATCGGGAGGTACCGTTATATGGCGACTATACGAAGAGGCGGACATGCACAGACAATTTTCTGTCCTAGGATGTTGTATCCATTACCAACTTCAAATACCAAATTTGAAACAATTCCGGTGAATAAAGTCGGGAATATCATAATAAATGTTTATTAATATAAATTAAAGCAGATATACACAACACTTGAATTGTGTAACCTTGGTATGTTTACAATTTCTTGTAATCTACCAAGAATATTTATTTTTGCTTTCTATTTATACATTTTTGAATTCATTAAAACTAGCATTTAAAGTTAACTAAGCAATAAATTACTTCAGCCAATAACCCATGCAATGTGAAACCAATCGAGGTGTTTCTTTATTTAGGCTATTGGCCTGCATAAGGCAAACAATAATTATATAGGTCAGTTATATGCTGACATAGAATAAAATAATAATAAAAACAAAATTAAAAAATGTGTTAGTAAAATATGTTCTTTTGAACATTCTCCCCCACGTTGAACGAGGAACGTTCAAGAAACTGTCTGGTCAATGACGTATGATGATGAGACTGACTGCCGAGGGGTAGGTGTTGGGTTCATGTTATTGTTGGAAGTTCTGTGGTGGCGAAACTTGACAATGACGTATATGGCTACTCCAATTCCAATGCAAAGAGCTAGATAGCTGATGGTATGATGGTGAATGGCCGTCGATTTCATTAATTGTGGAAGGCGTCCGATTTCAATAGTTTTTAGCTGTTGGTGTAAGGTGACGAGTTCAGCAGCATGTGTTTCATAGGTGCTGTTTAATGTTTTGTTGAGCAAGACAAGCTTACTGCTTGAGATTATGGAATCCAGTGGCTTAAGTCTCAGATATGATGTGTGCACTGTTGTTTTGTTTTCGTAGTGACCGTATATTGTAAATGTGTTGTCTTTGAAAATGCAGCCTGGCCCAATTTCTAAAGTTCCAGCTCCTTGCACCTCCAGGTGTGTCATTTTTGTACCACAAACAAAGGACAATTCTGTTAAATTGGCTAGAGTAAACATCCATTTATTCTTTTGTGCCATTTGTCTCCAAGTTTGGTGGTGCATGGTCGATTGCAAGTCGCACGCTTCTGACGATTTGTTCAATAAGAAAATCACCTCGCATAAATGTGATCGATCGCCTTTGCTAAATTTCGCTTGGTTGTCGCAAATAAAAACGTCATTTGTGGTATGTATGCAGCTGTTCATTTCTTCTGCGGTTAGCGATATGAACTCATCCCGATGGACGTTAGCTGCCAATAATGTTGATTTCAAAGCTATTGAAATAAATCGACCGGATCGTAGCATAGGTACGGGGATCATTTTGAATAAATCATACTGCTGGAGATCCACTAATGGAAGGCGAATCTCGAATATGATATGGTTCTTAATAACCCTTCCCTTACTCTTCATTAATTTGAAGAAATCCGAAACATTATCTTCGCGAACGGGTAGAGCACGAGATGGAGGAATGTGAGCCTTGATGGTTTGGAGCTCTTGTAGCAATTGATGTGGCGTAAGTAGCAACGGACTTATCCGACCATGATGAGCATCCGTTAAAACGTCGATTAAGTTATCTTCTATATGTTTCAACCTTGATGAAAGTAGCATGAGCTGTGAAGTGAGAAACATAATTGATTGTGTTGTCTTTACAACATCTTCTTCTTTCTTCACCTTATTTGCCAAAAGGTTCAATTCCACTTGCATGTTGCCGAAGTTCCTTTGGCTCGTATCTTCGTCCTTTCTAATTATGTTGATTGTTGAATCAATAATAGATGTCTGATTTTTTAGAAGATCCAACAAATGTTGCTTGTCTTCATTTGCCTTCTCAATTGTCACAGTCATTTGCTCCGCATATTCCGAATCCAAGACACCAAATAACGAGTGTGCGAGGTTCCCGACTATGTTTAGAGCTCCTCTCCTGATGCGCCTGGGGAATATGTTCAGTGTATTTGATTCCAACTGCTTTTGTACTTGAATAAGATTTTCTGAAAGTATCTCACAGCTTCTGTTCTCAACTGCTATCTTACACAACTTCTGAAGGGTTCCTATCCCGGTAGAAAAGCCATCCATATCTGCCCAAAATGGGGAAAGATCATAATAAGTGATCAGTTTCCACTCTGCTGTTACTACTTTTGTGATTCCAATTCCTTCAAAATAGATGCCGGGCTTATTCTCAAACTTGTGTATGTTGAACGAATGACACAAGCATAGAGGTAAAAATAGTAAAGCCACAAGCATCATCGATACTAGCATGCTGCTTGACGTCTTCAATCGCTTTGGAGATGGCTCTTCACTCCTGCTCTTGGTCTCTATAGGCGGAAGAGGTTCCTTTTCCTTTTTCCATAAAGGAGCTAATCTGGTTATAGCTCTTTTAATTTCGCCGTTTTGTGTCTTTACGTCGACTACACGAACGGCTCCATCGTTGCCCTTATATGTTCGGGTTATTCTGCCTAGCGGCCACTGCATTACAGGCATGTTATCTTCCTTAATAATGACCAATTGACCAGGTTCCACGTTTGGAGATGGTGTACTCCATTTCCTTCTTTCTTGCAGAGTATTTAAGTACTCCGTGGACCAACGTTTCCAGAACTCATGTCTAATTTGAGATACGACCTTCCATCTGCTTGTCAATGATGTTGACCATTGGTTCGCTGATGGGTCAACCTCATTGACAAGCAGATGGAAGGTCGTATCTCAAATTAGACATGAGTTCTGGAAACGTTGGTCCACGGAGTACTTAAATACTCTGCAAGAAAGAAGGAAATGGAGTACACCATCTCCAAACGTGGAACCTGGTCAATTGGTCATTATTAAGGAAGATAACATGCCTGTAATGCAGTGGCCGCTAGGCAGAATAACCCGAACATATAAGGGCAACGATGGAGCCGTTCGTGTAGTCGACGTAAAGACACAAAACGGCGAAATTAAAAGAGCTATAACCAGATTAGCTCCTTTATGGAAAAAGGAAAAGGAACCTCTTCCGCCTATAGAGACCAAGAGCAGGAGTGAAGAGCCATCTCCAAAGCGATTGAAGACGTCAAGCAGCATGCTAGTATCGATGATGCTTGTGGCTTTACTATTTTTACCTCTATGCTTGTGTCATTCGTTCAACATACACAAGTTTGAGAATAAGCCCGGCATCTATTTTGAAGGAATTGGAATCACAAAAGTAGTAACAGCAGAGTGGAAACTGATCACTTATTATGATCTTTCCCCATTTTGGGCAGATATGGATGGCTTTTCTACCGGGATAGGAACCCTTCAGAAGTTGTGTAAGATAGCAGTTGAGAACAGAAGCTGTGAGATACTTTCAGAAAATCTTATTCAAGTACAAAAGCAGTTGGAATCAAATACACTGAACATATTCCCCAGGCGCGTTGGCCTTGAGATACCACATTTTTTGCACTTGTGGCAAGGCTTGCTCGTTGATCATTTTCCCAAAAATGTCAGCAAACGTCTGCCACTTCGAATAATCCCCATTAAATTGAGGGATTGTAATTTTTGGCAGATTAACTTGATTTGCCAAGTTTCCGCCTGATCTCTGCTGAGACGACGAATGATCGACCTGTGTTAGCGTCGATATTTTTTCTTTGAACTTTAACGTCTCTTCCTCTAAGAGAACGTAGGCTGATGCATCGTACCCCACCAACGTTGGGTCATCAAAGTCCTCGAACATTTTGAAGTGGATATCTTCCACGTGTGTCCACAGTTTTTCAATTGCAGCCACTGTCTGACAGGGAGCAGCTTGGCCTGAATTGCCCCTTATTAACGTTTGTATGGACTGCATTAGAGCCCTCTGACGTCTCACTAATGCAGTCACGCTGCTGGTTGCAGTAAACTGGCCTGATTGTTTTTGCACCCCCTCCCTTGTTGCGGGAAGCGGTTTCTGAGGCATTTGTTCTTTGCCCCTTTTGATGTCTGCCTCGATGTTGTCGATTGCAGCTCTGTACTCTTCACCAATGACTTGGTATTCGTTATTGGTGATATGGAGATGTGACTCTGCCGCAGGATCTGCACGAATTTTGTTTTCATTGCGATCGATCTCTGCCCAGAGTGCTTCCATTTCCTTGAGCTTTTTGCTGTAGAACTCCACCGTTCTTCTTTCCAATGGAGCCTTTTTTACGTTCGCAATTGCCTTCCTCAACTCGGCAATTGCTGCTTGTTGTTGCTCGATTACTGTAGCTAGATCCATACTGTATCCGCCTTACGGTGATTAGCTATCAGTTGATTCAGATTCTTGATGTAGGTACTGGCTTCTTCTCCAGATGTTTCTGGCTCTTAGATGGTGCTACTAGTTGTACGTAACTAGCTCCTTTCACAAATAAATATTTCAAATTCCTTACCACTGGTGGGGGGAAATTCGAAATTTATGAGTGAATCAAGTAATCCTTGTCAGGATCACGTCGGGGTCACCAAAAAATGTTTATTAATATAAATTAAAGCAGATATACACAACACTTGAATTGTGTAACCTTGGTATGTTTACAATTTCTTGTAATCTACCAAGAATATTTATTTTTGCTTTCTATTTATACATTTTTGAATTCATTAAAACTAGCATTTAAAGTTAACTAAGCAATAAATTACTTCAGCCAATAACCCATGCAATGTGAAACCAATCGAGGTGTTTCTTTATTTAGGCTATTGGCCTGCATAAGGCAAACAATAATTATATAGGTCAGTTATATGCTGACATAGAATAAAATAATAATAAAAACAAAATTAAAAAATGTGTTAGTAAAATATGTTCTTTTGAACATTATTGTAGTAGTATCAATTACGAGATTCAAATGCAAATTTGAAACAATTCTTTGAAAAATGTCGCTAAAATCATCAAAATACCTAATATCGGGAGGAACAGTTATATGGGGGCTATCAAAAGTTCTGCAGATATAACATACATTTGAGCTAAATTTTATCAATCTACTTCAATTCGTTCGGAAGCTAGAGTGATTTCCACAGGCGGACAGACGGATAGACGGACAAATAAACAGAGCGGTATGACAAAAGCACCATATATTTTCTGTATGCTCAACGCGGCAACAGTAGAAATAATTAACTAACACATGAAGTGTTAATGTAAGCCCACCAAATGAAATTCGACTAAAATCAAACAAATTTAATATGCACTAAGAAACGCGAGTAGCTCACTTCAAATAAAATTCTGAATTTACGTACCGGTTTCTTAGTCAAATATGTTGGTGATGATGAGAGTAATTCGTATGACCAATGTTAAACGCAGGGTAGTGGGGAGAATGCCTTAGACAGCGGCAGTGGCAAAAAGAACTCCGCAGAGTTGTTCTGTGACGTGAGATACGATATCGTGGACCTATATATATATATATATATATATATATATATATATATATATATATATATATATATATATATATATATATATATATATATATACATATATATTCCAAAATCTGTGGAAACATATCAGCGTCAAGTAGCAACTCTATTGGGCTGATTCGAAAGAATCACGATCAGGAATTTGAGTCTTCAAATTAATCATGGGTGGAAGAGGAAACAATTTCTCTTTAAAATTAGGAAAGACCAACGCTTTAGTTTTTACAATTCTAGTTAAATTTCTTGGAAGAGAACATACTTCTCTTGGCGAAGTAGATTACGATTTGTTTGTCAAAGAACAATTTGAAATGCATAGTGCATATTAAATTTTCTTATTTACCATCTTGAAGGATGTTTACTAGCGCAGTTCCCAAGTGCACATTTTCTTGAATTCTGTTGGGAGACTGGCTCTTACAATAAATTTTAGCAGAAGGTGGGAGCGTTTTAGAAGACTTAGGGTCTCGACTATTTACCTTCGTAAAGCCGGAGGGGCTTCGAACCTCGGCTTTGACTAGTTTCGCAGAATTCGAAACGTAATGGTTTTGGGAAACCTTGCATAACAGTGAAGATTCACGACTGTTAAATCGTTAACAGGCGGAGGTGGGTTTAATCACGATCCTGCACCTATGTTACTATTTTATGACCGGTGGAGAAGGCTGTGGTGCTTTTATTTTGAAGATTTGTAACTATTTGTACTTCGACAATTTTTAACTGCATGGTCACTTGAGAGACTATGCAACAAATATTCTTTTCACAATCAAGGATATGTCCTCAAACGAAAGTTTAAAAAAACTGGGGGCAGTGTCGAAGCACATGACTCTGGTTAGGACAAATGGGGCAATTATTGTTTGGCGGTAAACTAGTAAACCGAAAAGAAGGGGGAACACATTTTGGTTCATGTACCAACAATATTTTAAACATGCTCGAATGCGAACGATTTAGTGGAGCAGCAATGAGGTGAAACGGCTGCAAATAAATAAATACAACTATTGGATCCGTGGCGACGACATAGACAGCCATTGCAGCAAGACAACTATTTATGCAACTTTGGATAGTTTTTAATCCCGAACAAGTTTAAAGTTTAAAAGAGGAATATCAAATAAACATCTTATGTAATTATTCACTACGATGCGCTTATTATCATACGTATCCGACGAAGCATTCCAAGCTAAATGGAAGCTACAATTAGTGAGTGTAAACAATTTCTCAAGCTTCACCGGTAGTATTCTGGCTGAAATGACAAAGACCTTCTATATCTGAAATGCGTGCAATATTTATAAAGGCCGTGGTGAACAGATCACGAAAAGTGGGGCAAGACACAAAATCTCCTGCAAAGACTTCTGGAACAATCATCATTGATTGAAAATTTGAGGCGATCAAGGTGCTTTTATTGTGGTTAACACCAATGGTATACAATAAATGATGTCAGTATATATCCTCAACGACATCAATATTATCAACCTACGTAGTCTCGTATGCCGTGAGGTAGT